CAAAGTATTGAGGGAAATTGGATACATGAATGCTCCCTGGGAGGGGGGAGGTGTATTAGGTGCAGAGACGTTTAGGGCTGCAGCAAGTCAATTTTGACCGAAAGTAGTGCATGGCACCGATTACATCTTTGGGGAACCCAAGTTGTGAACGATATTTAAGAAAATGTTCACTTCTTAGCTTGTGTAGATGGGTACTATGGAAGGATTATAGTGCACATGTGCCACTACAGAAAAATAGAATGAGATGTTTTCTTTGCAGCCAACTTATGCTTGCCTGGACAGTTTGGGGGAATGTACCCATATCACTGTTCCTGTTGAACACCCCTCCACTGATGTTTCTACTCCAGAACTTTGTACTCCTGTGCAATACAAATTTAATAACTCGTATAGCTTGCTATATGTTGTCTTTGTTACAACGTGCATTTATTTTAGGTGAGGCTTACTGTGAACACAGCAGAATAATCAGCAGCCAGTCTTATCAACATTTTTGTTATATGTAGGGAGGAGCTGGAGACAGAGGACTTTGCGGGAGGGATAGAGACAAGGAGAGGAGTTGCGGCTGCAGAGGGGGCAGGAAATGAGGATGGGTGGTAGGCAAGTGTTGGATTGGTTATTTGAGAAAATCTATATTTTACTGGTCCCAAGGCAGGGTAAGTGGCTGCTTCCAGATCTTGGAGCAATTAATGTGTTTCCAAAGACGCAAAGTGGTCGTTTGCAGCTGATAGTCCAGGTACTTTGACTACCAAGGGAAAAGAAATGTGTGTGCTGCCAGAGTTGCCAGCATGTGGATTCTGGGAGATTCCATGTTTTGCCCGCATTGCAGCATCTAACCAGTGACCTAAGAAGTTGTGATCTTCAGGTGGAGATGATCTGGGCCTTTATCCCTAGGGTACACGATACAACGTATGAGAGCAGATCTGGATCTCATCAGAGATTTGTGTGCAGGAGCTGTTTTCTCAGATTTCGCTGAGAGTCTGAATAATTGCTACAGCGACAATATGAAAGTGATTAAGTATTGGAAGAACATTAATCAGGAAATTGGAAATGGGCTGACCAGACAATGTGCACTATATGGCATAGAAACATTACCCGCTCTGACATCTCACTGTTTCTTGGAGATGGGGCACATCTACTGGATAGGGATTAGGGGATCTTTCTCTCAAACATAAAACGCTCAGTATTTTGGAACAGAAATCCTGTCTCAGTTCTTCCACCAGCCCTATCACAAACTCCACCCTCAAACCATTTTGAAACATGACCAGGAGCCCCATTCCACTGTAACATGGTTGTCCTTCGCTCTAGGCACTGCGTATGAGTCAGTTACAGAAGAGAGGTAGTAACAGCAATAGAGATGTTTCTATACCAGGAAGTAAATGCATTCCTGGAAATGCATTCCCTACTTGTGATGTGGGGGCGGTGAGCACCTGGGTACAGTAGTAGGGAGGGGGCCAGGTTGGAGGGGGAATGCAGTTGAATGGCTCAGGGGCATGGCTAGCAAGGTGTGCCAAAACCAGCTGATGTGTTGGGAGGGAAGGCCAGCTGGTTCAATAACAAACTTGTGGGACATGGTATCTACAACTGCCAAAATGACAACTAATTCCTACCAACAGTGTATCTTTTTCTGTTGGATAAAAAAATATATGAAAAAACCTGGAAAATTCAATGGCAAAAAACCCTATGTTCATTCAAAGTTAAGGTATATCGTCCCCTTGCAGAACGCTGGGTTGAACAAGACTCAAACTTCTGAACATCAGGATATCTAGAGTTAAGGTTGCTTTTGCAACCTTAACTCTGTCCTCTTTCAGCAGTTACACTCTGTTAACACACATACCTTTACTCTGCCAAGCCCACAGTTGCTGAAATGTACAAGCTCTTCACCTCCCTTTACAAGGCATTCACTCTTACCCACAGGATTCCATCGACCACTATTATAGAACAAAAAGAAAAACAAAACTGGTTGCCTTTCTTCTGTTCCCCTGGAATAGGCAGTAGCCAATGGGAATTACTTGCATACACTCAAGGTGCAGTCAGCATGTTAGGTGTACCTAAAAGAACTGATGGAGGCAATAGTTGTGCCTGCTTGATAAAGGTGTGTTTGTGATGTAAGGAGCTGTAAGTGTGAGATGAGATCTGTGTTTTGCATCCTCTGATGTGTGAGAGCAAAAAGAAAGGACTGCAGGTGTACCTTCAGGTTCTAGTATGCATCATTTCAGTGCAGAATTGTGAACATTTAGGGCTTCTGATTTTAGGTTATAACTGATACTCTAATAAAACACCCCGGTTATGAGAAAAATGAAATGAGCAATTATCCAATAAACACAAGAAATGGTTACTCAATTCATGTTGACTTCATCCCTTTCACAGTGCAGTTTGTTTATATAGGTAAATGTCACTGCTGCCTGGCTTCTATCTAAGGGATTGTCTACCCAGAGCAGTAATGTGGACTATGGGGATGTGATTTCTAAAGCACACTAACATGTTACAATTTAACTAGTCCATGTAGATCCTGCTTTTATGCACTAAAGATTCCCTGGAGTGCTTTAACATAGTGCTGTATGAAATAGCACTACGTTAAAGCGCAGTAGGGACAAATACACCAACCAGGGGTTCAATATGAAGCTTGAACTAATCATGTAGGGCATTTTTTATACCTGTAATAAAAAATTAAGTAGACAAGAATTTTGGGAAGTACCTGGAAAAAAAATCTTATCATTACAGTATACAAGAGATCCTTGAAACCCTCAGACTTCTGAACATCTACATAGAACTCAAAAAGTGCTAAAAATAAGCCTAGAAAATGAAATTAACAAACCCTGAAAAACAGAAGCTCTACATACATTATGTAATTAGCAGGACATGGGGGGGGGGTTATTAGTAAAGGTATTGTCAGTAGTGAGCTGGGATGTGAGAGCAGAGTAAGCATTTATTATCCACATGGACTCAAGTGTGGTCAGTGTCGGGTGTAGCTGGATTGATTGGTGGAGGCACTAGTTAACTCTGTTTTGTAGAGATGTGTTTGTAAGATCTGTGGATTACTTTGAGGTGTGTGACGGAGCTGTGATTGTGATATGAGGAGATGGATGCTTCATACCCTCTCACGTGAGGAAAGGAAAGAGCTGCATGTGTACCTTTAGGATGCAGTATCCATCATTTCTTTGCAGAATTGTTATGTCAGTATCAGGACATAGGGCTTTTATTACAAAGGACATTGTCAGCAGTGAACTAGAATATGAGAGGACTAATACTTTAATGATGGTTAAATGAAAGTGTAGGTTAAGGTGTTATGCTCTAAGTATAAGGGAGTTTTAAAAGGCTGTGAAGTGATTCTTCAATTGTATACATGTGATATTCTTTCTGGGCAGTTGGCTAAGTGTGTGAGTGTATTCCAGGATCTGGAACCTCCTGAATCTTACAGTACCAAGGGCCAGTGTCGTATATGTGTATCAGATGGAATCCTGTGGGTGAGAGTGAATTAGTGGTAAAAGGAGGTGAAAAGTTTGTACATTTCAAGCACCTGTGGGCTTGGCAGTGTAAAGGTATGTGTATTAACAGGGTGTAATTGCGGCTTTGCTGATAGAGGGCAACCTTACCTCTGCATTTCCTGATTTTCAGATGCTTAACTCATCATTCTGCAGGGGGACGGCATGCCACCAAACAACTTTAACTCTTTGTTAAAGTAGTTTTTTGCCATTCAGTCATTTTTAATCTACTGATCCAATGCTACTGAGATAGACCCTGACTACTAATCAACATTAAAGAAGAAAATCTGCTAAAGTTTCAAAACCTGCATGTCAGTACTTTCCTCAAGGGTCATCTGTGTAGAGTAGTTATTTTCTTAGCTAGGGCAAATATTGTCCCACTGCAGTTGCATAAATTACAAGGTTGTAGAAATTACCATAACTCTAAGGGTAAATGTGAAAAGCACTGTAATTATTCCTCTGCATATTGCAATACCAGATACCTTTTGGGTTATCTCATCTTTGGCAGAGCAGTCATTGATGCCTTTGACATTTTTCAAATTAGTAGGAAGCCATAGTTCTCAGGTATAGAAAAAGGCTGCCACTTACTCTAATGATACAATAACTGTATTGTCCTGATGAATTGAAGGAAGGGTATAATCTATCCCTGGTGGTTGAGTTGTTCTTAGCAAACCAATTTTGGAAACATTTGTCTAGCATCCTTTGTTCTTAAAAACTAAAATGAACCACACTAAAATAGACAGGTCAGCTTAACCATCAGTGCCCTTATAACAAATTGTATGAAAAGACACTTGAGGCATAAAGTGCTACTGTAATTCAGTTTCCCCTTAAGTATTCAATCATTTTTCATGTTTATTTCTCTAGACTTCATATGAAAAGATTTGAAATTTCATTCCATAAGACAAATGTTTAAACAGCACTGCAACTGTTATCTTTATATAAGTAGCTAACAACAGGCGCTCCAACTTCTATCATTTTCTGACATGTGGAGAGGTGTGTCCCCCAACTCTGGAAATTCCCTGACTGAATACTTGATTCATAATTATTGTATTTAATCCTAGGCAGACTGATTATTGAAGAGCAAGTATGCTGATACAATTTGTGCATAGCCTTTAGTCTATTAATAATCAGTAGTAGGAAAATACTCACACTGAATTATGTTACCCTGCAGATTTTGCCAATGCATTTCGATAGTTTTTCATATGGACCAGGTTTGAGATGGGCATTCTGAAGAATACCAAATGTTCCAGGCCATTTTAACTCTCCAGGTTTTTTCCTTAAAGTGCATTTGAGTGCTGTTATTTTCTCCTGTTGTTTATTTCCATTTTTGCTCCTCATATCACATATGACACAGAGATAAAAGCTACTAATCAAGTAAGGAAACTGAAAGTTGTCACATTTACTGAATATTCATAAATGACCTTCAGGTGTTCAGACAAAATTAGATATTGTGTCCAGAAACCTTTATTCTAAAATAATCATGTTTTTGTATAAACTGGTTTTGTTTGATTCTTTTAACAGCGATAATGGTGCTGACTTTACTTTGATAAAAGACCCGCTTCAGATCCTAGAAGAGATTGTTTCTGCAGTCCACGCAAGTGCTGAAAAGGGGTAAGAATGTATATGGATACTGTTAACCTGATTTTTAGTGGGTTGTATATTATTATAGGCTCGCCCATGATCTGATCATAAGATAATCAGGTTCTCGTCCTGAAATCAGGCTACAGAGAATTGAATGTAGGGAGTTCAGTATTTTGCAAGGAACCTCAGGGTGTGTGGCTAGAATGCTCACGCTGAGGTCAAAGCTGAGCTTTGGAGATTTTTATTAAAATAAAGGAAAAAGTGATCAAAGCTCGAAACCACAGAATCAAAAAGAAATAATAGAGTTCTGTGGATACCTGTGGTATCATTCCTTACAAAAGCTGCTTAGACTTGCACATTCACACCCTTCCTTAGCGGACCTGGTGATGGGAGACAGAGGACCAGCCTTGTCTCTGGTATGCCAAATGAGTCTGATGCTTCATGTTCCTCAGTATCCGAGATGGTGGAGAAAAGGGTCAAATGTTGAGTGGCTGTTGTATTGAAAAAGCTAAGCTAAAAGCTAAAGACAAAAAGAACAAAAGGGAACTAAGCTAGTTGGATAGAGCACCCCTTCGCATGGTGGTTTTGCCCTTTTATAGGGTCTTGGTACCCTTCTAAATATTCATGTCAGTGCCCAATGTTCCATGCCCAAATCTTATTTCCTCACCCATATAAGCTTAGGGCACACTTACTCTAGAGCAGGGGTAGGCAACCTATGGCATGCGTGCCATACAATTGGTTGTATGAAGGAGACTGCAGAGATGGTGGACTACTTGGCCCAACTGCATCAGCACCCACACAAATCAACACAACTCTCCCAGCACAACCTCTCCTAGAAAATCCTGGGGGCTCTGCATTTTAATTTAATTTAAGTGAATCTTCTTAAACATTTTAAAAACCTTATTTACTTTACATACAACAATAGTTTAGTTATATATTATAGACTTAGAGAAAGAGACCGTCTAAAAATGTTAAAATGTATTACTGGCACGCGAAACCTTAAATTAGAGTGACTAAATGAAGACTTGGCACACCACTTCTGAAAGGTTGCCAATCCCTGCTCTAGAGGCTAGCGTATTCATACATATTAACAGCATAGCCATACATACTAATGCCACTTAGCTCATTCTTGAAACCCGTTACCTTTGGCCTGGACCGTTACTTCCATGTTCTTGTGGTGTACCTCGTGGTTACCAATAGGTCCCAAAAATCTTTGGTAAACACATTCAATTCCCTAAAATCTAAAGGGCAACTGGTAGGCCATTTATCTATGCCAAAGGTTATAAATACTCATGCTAACTTGCTTTAGTTAATCGTACAGAATACAGGTCTTTAGGTTCCTTGCGTATGGGCTGTAATACGTCATACGAATCCTTTTGCTAACACTGTCAGATTGTTTTGGTCACAATGCTATGACAAGGTACAGTATTGAATGTGGATACTTTCCTGAAAGGGAGTATATGATGAATTTATTTCTCACATGCATTATAAGACACCCATCAGTAGTAATTGACTTTTGCATAATTTAAAAGAAAAAGCATACTATATCCTACAATCCCTTGCAATTATCAGACTGAAAGGACTAGAGCCAAGAGCCTAATTACCAGTGGGGATTGCAACATTTTGTTGGAAAACATCCGAACAAAAAGATCTATTTTGCATCCTGCTGTAAAAGTGACAGAATCCCACGGGGAATTAATTCCAAACCCTAGGGCCTGCCACCAAGAATGCCTTGATTCTAGCTCCTGGAAATTCATCCTCTGAATGACTTTCACAATCCATTAGTTACATGAAAAAGAAAGCTCTCCCACCCGTCCAGTTCCTTGTTAATAACTCCCACTCTAGGAAAAAATAAGGCTTTACTTAATTATGAATCGATCCTCATCAGTTTGCTGTACAACACTCATTACCATTATACCTATTTTTGACTAAGCCATAACCAGAAGCAGCAGGCATGAAGCAGGGGGGAAGGTAAGGTCTGTACACTGAATCATTGTTCAAACTTCTAGTGCTTTAGTGTCCTGCCAATGTTATTTATCATTTTATTGGTTCTCTTAGCATTGCTACTCTTATGGTCGTGTCAGCACTTTCATGATAACTCAGCCTTAAAATTTATTCTGGACTGAAACATGGCATACAAATCACAGTTTGAGAGAGAAAATGTAGTATACCAAACAAAACCAAAAAAACAAAAAAAAAGTGGTCTTATGGAGTTAAACAAAAAAGAAACTTAAGTCAGATACGTGTTTGTGAGCTTTTATAACTCAATGTGATGGGTGCTTTTCATTGACTTTGTGGTAGGGGGAATCTCACATCTTTTCATTGGCCTCCATAATTACACTTCTTAGCTGAGAGAACTGATCCCTGGAAGAAGTGCTGAGCCAGGGCTTTTGCAAATTGCTTATCTAAAGTAACACTGTGCGTTGGGAAGAGGCAGAACTCCCTCCTCCTCCCCCCACACACATTAAGGTATGTCTGCACAGCAGCTGAGAGATGTGATTTCTAGCAGAGGTGAATATAAACTTATTTCAGAGTAGTAGCTGTGTTAGTCCATATCCACAAAAAGAACAGGAGTACTTGTGGCACCTTAGAGACTAACAAACGTATTTGAGCATAAGCTTTTGTGGGCTACAGCCCACTTCATCAGATGCATAGAATGGAGCATATAGTAAGGAAATATATATGCTCATACAGAGAACGTGAAAAGGTGGGAGTTGTCCTACCCCATTACAGACAGTTTGACAAAAGGTGTGAGAATGCTTAACATGGGGGAATAGATTCAATGTGTGCAATGGCTCAGCCATTCCCAGTCTCTATTCAAGCCTAAATTGATGGTGTCTAATTTGCATATGAATTCAAGTTCACCAGTTTCTTGTTGGAGTCTGTTTTTGAAGCTTTTCTGTGGCAAAACTTTTTAGTTCTCTTTGAGCTAGTGTCTAAAACTAGCAGTGGCCATGGTAGCACAGGCTGCAACTTGGGCTAGCTGCCCCAGTACATCTCTCGGGAGTCAGGCAGGTCTGTATTTGAGTGCCTAGCCACAGCCACACTACTATTTGTAGGTGCTAGTACTGGCTCTGGGAATCACACCTCCCTGCTGCTTTGTAGACATACCCATACTTAAGTACCATTGTCAAGCAACTCTCTATAAAGGGCAGGTTGGGGCATGCTGAGCAGGGAACATTAGCTGCGCCCCAGCTCAGCTTAGTTGTAGAAGATCTGAAATGAGTGACTTTAGACCCTGTCCTTGGCAGACAGCAGCAATGGACTTACAGTTGAGAAAACAGAGTCTAGTAGGATCCTCACTTCCACCTCTGTTTAGCACCTCAACAAATAAAGTGAGCAGTGTGTGTGTGTGCAGGTGTCCAGATTAGAGTTGAGAATTAGCTATTCTAAAAATGGCTAGATAAATTAAACTATTGCCAGTTTTTTCTTCCATAACCTATAACAACTTTGTTTGTTTTTAACCCCAAACAGCCTAATAGGAAACTGCAGTTTAAAGATGCTCCGCTGTGCATTATTTCTTTCCGCGTGTTTTAGTAAGCATTTTTATGGCTCATACACATCTTTGATATAGAAGCCGTCTCATCGTGTGCTTGATAACCATGTAATCGGGGGGGGAAATCCAAATATTACAGTAACCAGACAGACCAAAACTGTATAATAAATGCTTTAAAACCTGCATAATCCTGTATTTCTCTTTCAGTTCCTATTATAGGAAACTCCAAAACACACATGATTTTCAGAAGCAATTCCAGAGAACCTGGTTATAGCACTGAGGTATATACCTACTCCTCCCATTTAAGATAGTGGAAAATTTCTCATTAACTTGAGTTAGAGCAGGATTGAGTGCTTCAAGTAATAGTCCATCACAAATAGGCACACTTATAGGTGAGTTTAGGAATACACAATACAAAAGAGAGGCCAATATAATCTGTGTCCTGAATGTTAGGAAAACTCACTGACTCTCCATGCATTTCTTGGCTTTCACTTCTTGTTCATAAGTGTTTGTATCGAGAACTTGAGGTCAAGAGAATGGTGCATGACTGATCTTGGCTTCTTCTCAGTAGCTAGCGCTAGGGTCTGAGAGTCAGCCAGTCCACCCTTAGCACAGAATGGAGTTTAAATTTCAATCTCATAAATACCAGGTCTATTAGGTCTTGAATACTTCAAGAAATTACTGATATAAATGTACCACTGTAATTATACTTGTACAGCTCCCCATGTGGACACTCTTATTTGAGAGTGAGTTGCCTTTTTCTAATGTAGCTTATGTAGCTTTCATTTAATTTTGTTCAGCAAATTCCTTCCCAGTCTGTCTCCACCTCCTCCCCCTCCCACCCCCCAGAATATTTATTTGATTCCAGTTAGAAGGCAGAATTGCCAGTTTTTCATCTCAATAACACACAAATTGGCCTCCTCATATGGTTGGGCCTGTTGTGTGGGGGGCTGTAGAAATGGTCCAGGTTCCTGTTCTTTGTCCCATTTTTTAACATCAATGCTACCCCACTTGAGTCCTTAGTTGCAGCAACACTTCTGGTCAAAAGAGGCCTCATCCCCTTTCCCATTGCTTCACAGACATATCACTGGAATGGGTGCAATGGTTCACTGTGTAGTTAAGCTTCAAATGCAATTTCCATAATAACACTCTCCATGTCCAACCTATTTGGGGATTGCTCTTTTTAAAATTCATTTGTGGGTGAAATTTTCAATTTTTATTAGTCCAGAGATTATTTTGATTTAAATTTGGATAAAAAAAAAATGGTTATAACACAGATCGTGACAAACCACCCTATTCAGTGTTAATTTGAACTGTTTCCTTTTGAAAGGAGCTGTCTGGAGTCTCTCAGTTTGTGTACACTGCTAACACTGTGGCATTTAAACACTAATCAAGTGTGAAAATCAATGTGACTATGGAAAAGATTACTCAGATTCATTTAAACATACTTGCTTACCTCCTTATACTTCAACTATTAAGACAGCAAAGTATAAAGCTTCTGCTTCAAGAAAGTCATAAAAAATTGAGACGTGAG